GAACCCGCCACCTTAGGTGTACGTGGCTGGCACCTTAGCCAGTTGAGCTATAGGCACTGAGCCGAGAGTCTTTCTTTATATGAGGTAAGAAATACAGTTTTTACAAATTACTTTCTGCATATGGCAACATACAAACAACTCTGACTGTAACAGCCTGGAAGAATGTCCCTCAGAATCTCAGCGGTGGTTCTCTTTGGGTAGTGGTGTTACAGATCACTTTTTAAACTTTGTTCTCTTTGGCTGACTATATTATCTGAATTTTCTACAACAAATATGTACTTATTTTAAGATTATTTTAAACTTATTATAAAACTTTCTTCTGCCTCGAGTGTGCCTTGGTCTTGGAGGCTGGGACAGGGTGAAATGGCTGTGGGCAGGGTAGCAGAGACTGGGAAACTGGGACAAGGCCAGTGCTGACAAAGCCTTCTGTGGGTTTTTGGGAGCCCATCTGAACCTCTGCACAGCACCAGACAGTGTTCCTGTGGAAAATGTGTTTGCCAGTGTCTACAGGGCATTGCCATTCATGAATACAGACGTGCGGCCCAGGCCGAAGGCTGTGTGCCCTCGTGGTGTGTGATGGTCACCGAGTAAGGCTTTTCCCTGGGATGACGATTTGGTCTGTTCTGCGTGCAGGAAGGCTTGAGAACTGGTGTATCCTCCAGATCCTGACACCTGAGTCTCTGTCTCCTGCACAGGTCAGCTGGACATCATCTCCATGGCAGAGACAACCATGATGCCCGAGGAGATCGAGCTGGAGATGGCGAAAATCCAGCGCCTCCGGGAAGTGCTGGTGCGCCGGGAGTCTGAGCTCAGGTTCATGTGAGTGCTTTGGGGGAGCGAAAGGGAGGGGGGTGAGGGGGAGGGGCCTGGAGAACCTACTACATATGATTGACTACTTTGTGCCAAACACTGGGATAAAGGCATTATGTACGTTAAAAAAAAAAAATCTCATTTGACTCTCACTACTACCCAGAGAAGTTGGTATTGTCATCTCCCATTTTAAACAAGACTGGAAAGTTGCAACTGAATTTGAGCTAGTCTGATTCCAGGAGGTCCAGGAGCTTTCTGTGTTATGAATAGGAGAAGGGGGCAGGGAAAAGAAAGATAGGAGCCCAGAGGTGGTACCTTATGCTGGGGTCATTAAGACTATGCACACACTAGGCTCAGATCCTAGTGTCACTGGCCTGAGATCAGAAAGAGACAGTCCACTTGGGCAGGTTACTTAAGCCCTTTGAGCCAGTTCCCTCATTTGTAAAATGGTGGAAAAATAATAACACCCCTCTTGGGAGTTATTATCCACCTCAGAGTTATAGTAGCTCAGCGGTTCTCAACCTGTGGGTTGTGACCCCTTTTTTCCATTTGTAACAAAGTGACAATTAGGAAGGTTGAGAACCACTGTGTTAGTTGAATGTCCATTATCTGCAGAGCAGGGTGCCTGAGAAATCATAGGTAGTCTTTGAAGAGAAACTGCCATTTTGAACAATGAGAGCTAGACGGCTCTCCTAGCTCTCCTACTCCTGTGGCTCAAAGGAGTAGGGCGCCAGCCCCATATGACGGAGGTGGTGGGTTCGAACCCAGTCCTGGCCAAAAACAAACAAACAAACAAACAAACAAAACAATGAGAGCTTAAAAGTAAAACAAAGTAAAAACAGAGGGTTAATAGCCAACCTGGGATCAGTGCAGTGGCTCATGCCTGTAATCCCAACACTCTGGAGGCCCAGGAGGCCCAGGCAGGAGGATTATTTGAGCTTAGGATTTTGAGGCCAGCTTGAGCAAGAGTGAGCCCCCATCTCTACTAAAAATAGAAAAATTACCAGGCATGGTGGCACATACCTGTAGTCTCAGCTACTTAGGAGGCTGAGGCAGGAGGATCACTTGAGCAGGGAGATTGAGTTTGAAGGAAGGAAGGGAGGAAGGACACTTTGACTAGATCTACCAAGATAATTTCTTAAGATAATTACAATCAGACTCTGTCTTGGGGCGGGGAGCAGGGGGAAGCAACCTGGCTGGAAAATGTTCTGTTCTCCTGGCCAGCTCCCCACCTGACCTCCCCCGGAAGCAGCAGGCACTAAGCCCCTCCTGCCCCCCCCCCGCCCGATTCTATCAGTGACCCTTCATGAAGCCATGAAGCCCATTTTGATGAGGAGACTGAGGTCTGAAGAAGTTAAACACCTGTCCAAGTTTACCCAGCTAGTAAATGTGGGAATGAGGGTTCATAACCAACTCTTCAAGCCTTCAACACTCAAAATTTCACTAGGCTTAATGACCTTCTCTATTACCCCATAAAAAGACCTGCAATATTCAAGCTGCCATTTTTTTCAGGTATTTGTATGAGCCAGACTGTGCTAAATGCTTCATGGGCATGATTCCCTTCTTCCCAGGAGCCTCAGAGGAAGGTTCTAGAACATTCCCACTTTAGGGATAAGAAACATCTTTTTGTCTTTTGTCTGAAAATAAGCTAAATTGATACATGAGCATTCAGAAACAAACCTCCCAGTTTTTAAAAAGGAAGACAGAGAATGGGAATTATATTTTAAAGTAGAAATTGAAAGTTTTAGAGGGCATTGTTTTTGCTGCTGTGGGAACGAGGGCTGCCACATTGCATTTATTGACCTTTGCGATGCTTGTGCACACGCACCCATGAAGCACTCACACACACGCACACACATGCATTACTCCCGGCATCTGGCACATACCTGCCACACAGCGAGTGCTTAAGGACAAGGTTATCAACCACTTCTCAAGCGCTCGCCCTGGGCCAGGCACTGCGCTAAGCTCTTGACTTGTGACCTCACTAAATTTCCTCACCATCTTTCTAAGAGTAGAATGTGAACATTTTAAAGCAATAACTGAGAACATGACATGAAGGCTGTGTTGACCAGTTTGATGGAAGTATTTCAGATTGCATGTGAAAACCCCACACTGTACCCCAGAAGTGCATTAATGTACATAGTTACCATTCAATAAAAAAAATAAAAATAAAAATAAAAATAAATAAATTTTCTCACCAAGCCTATGAGGGAATCCAACCACTTAAGGACAAATGTCAATAGTACACACTCGAATAAACCAAATCCTCTAAAGCAGGGGTGTCCAACCTTCCTTTTTTTCTCCTTGGCACATTGGAAGAATTAAGAGTTATCTGGGGCCAGATGTCAATGACATAGACACTCACAAAAGCTATCGGTGTATAATATCCAACACCACAGCCACAGACATGCAAAAAATGTCCTCACAAAATCAGCATGTGGCCTGCAAGGTCTGGAGGATGCAGAAGGACCTCAGTCAGTGTGGTCTTGAGGATACCCTCTGGAAGTCCTGCTGGAGTTCTCCAGAGTGTATTTCATGATCATGACACTCCCCCAAGCCCATCGTGGTAGAGCATATCCCTGGTGGAGGTGCCCCCACCTTAGCCATCTCCGTCAGAGTTACACAATGGATTCTAAGGCCATCAGGATAGAGGACACAGCACATGCAGATGGGACAAACTCTTCATCCATCGCCTCTGACCTTCTAGGCCAAATCCACTCTTCAGCTATTTCTCAGGGCTGATCCTTCCATAGCGGTAGGAGAGTCCTGTTGTTATCCCTATGTTTTTTTTTTTCAGACAGTCGCACTTTGATTCCCTGGTTAGAGTGCTCTGATGTCATGGCTCACAGAAACCTCAAACTGCTGGGCTCAAGCAATCCTCCTGCCTCAGCCTCCTGAGTAGCTAAGACTACAGGCACCCACCCCAACGCCCAGCTAGTTTAAGTAGAGATGGTCCTTGCTTTTGCTTGGGCTGGTCTCAAACTCCTGAGCTCAAGCAATTTACCTGCCTCAGCCACCCAGAGTGCTAGGATTACAGGTGTGAGCCACTGTGCCCAGCTTGTTATCCTTATTTTTACATTTTTATTATTATTATTTTTTTTTGCAGTTTTTGACTGAGGCTGGGTTTGAACCCACCACCTCCAGTATATGGGGCCAACACCCTACTCTTTTGAGCTAGGCGCTGCCCAATTATCCTTATTTTTTAGAGAAGAAGGTGTTGGAGGTTAAGAAATTTGTCCAAGGATGTGGTAGGTAGTGAGCAGCCAAGCTAGGACGCAGTCTGACTCCAGAATGTTTATTAGGTGAGTAAATCAATGAAGGAAGGAAGGGAGGGAGGGAGACACTTTGACAAGATCTACCCAGATAATTCCTTACAGAGCCTCAGCTCCGTGAGCGCGGAGATCTTGTGTGTCTTTCTCACTGTTGTATCTTCCCAGCACCTTGTGCAGTGCCTGGCACTTATTACACTCATTAATGTTTTTCAAGTGTGCAATAAATTGTACGTTCGCATTCCATGCTCCCCCCAGCCGCCTGCTCACACAGGCACATGTACATCCACACACACACATGCACACTTAGGCCCCTGGGCATAGAATTAGGGGACAGAGAAAATTTCAGGCCCCAGTAAGCATTTTCAGGCTCAGGAAAGGAAGTGTCAAGTGACAGGAATGTGATGGCCGGCCCGTGGCTGAAATATTCCCAGTGACCAGAGCTGTAATCACCGCAGTGGGATTCATTTGTCACACCTGTTCTGAAGTAATGACTCTAATCCCCATCAGCTCCTGCGGAGCGTGTGCAAGGCTGAGGCTGCCTCTCGCTTCGTGGCCTCTTGCCCAGTGTCCGCTGCCTTCCCCACACCCTACATCCCTCTGTCTTTAGAATTATCCCTTCTCGTGTGGGCTTCCCTTGCCCTGGCCGCTCTGCCTTGCCCTTTGTCCAGGATCCACTGGCTCTGTCGGTTCTTTCCATCTTCCTGCCAGGACGGTGAGGAAGACGAGGGAGATCCACCCATTCCCAGGGAACTGGCAAGAACTCAGGTGACCTGGGTTCAGGAATCATCCTGGCTCTTCCTTATTTTTGGCCGGTGACCCTGGGCCCACGACAGAGACCATATGAGTTGCTGCTTATGGAGGACACTGTTATCCCACACAGCCTGCTATATACATTGCACCCATTTGCTCCCTTATTTTAGTTTATTGAATCCTCATGAGAATTTTTTTTTTGAGACAGTTTCACTTTGTCACCCTGGGTAAAGTGCTGTGGCATCTTAAGCTCATAGCAACCTCAAACTCCTAGGCTCAAGCAATCCTCTTGCCTTAACTTCCCGAGTAGTTGGGACTACAGGCACCCACCACAACACGTGGCTATTTCTTTTTTGAGATGGGGTCTCGTTCTTGCTCAAGCTGGTCTCCATCTTGTGAGCTCAAGTGATCTACCCACCTCAGCCTCCCAGAGTGCTATGATTACAGACATGAGCCACCATGCCCGGCCTTATTCCTTCTTTTTTTTAAGAATGAGGAAACTGAGGTGAAGAAGTGACTTATTCAAGGTGGTCACCAGCCAGCATGAGCAGAACCAGGCTTTGTACCCACCATGTTGGTCTTAAAAGCAGAGCCCTCAGCCGTAAGCTATTCTGTTCTCTTTATTCCCAAGGCAAGGACCCCTTTTCTCTTTGCTTTGTCCTTCTGGAATGCAAAGGCAACCCCTAGCTGGATGTCCTCATTCCATGTCAGGTTTTTTCTTGTTCCACCCACTGAGTTGAGTGTGGTGAACATTGAATGGATGCTACTGCGTCAGCCTTTGGACTGCTCTGTCCCCTTTCTCTGGACATAGGTGGTTTATTTTGGAGCTCTAGCTAAGACAGTCAAAGTCTATGAAGTCAACCTGCTGGGAGTTTTCTGCAGAGCCTTGCTTTTATAAAGATTCTCTTGAACCAAATAGTTGACATTTATCAATCCCTTCACATGCATTGTCACATAACCCACTTCAAGTGCTTCCTGGTGGAAGGA